TTAAATGCTTAGGTTCGTATTTAAATTCGCATTCAAATGTAGATTCGTAGTCTTACGCGTTAGGCTCTTAGTTTTGCGAAAAAAAGAAAAAAACATTGTTCCTATAAAACTGTTTTGTTTACAGATGATTTTTAGACTTATCTCCATTATCTCTTAATATTCCCCTTATCTCTTTATCTCCGTTTACAGATCCCTTATCTCTGACCTTAATGTTTCCTAAGTTAACTAATCGTCAAAAAAGTTCTTGCTTAAGAGCTAACATTTTGCAGTAAATTATTGCAAAATAGCTACAGCGCAAAAATTACAAAATTGCTCTATTAAAAAAATACAATCAAAGTCCTTCACTGACTATTTATTTATGTCAGAAATGTGAAGGCCACCGAACATCAGATATGCCATATTAAATGATGCTTTGAGGTGCTTCTACTTGCTGGGCGTAGATATGCTAAATCCTTTGTTCCTGGACTGCTTGCCTCTCGTATTCAATTATTTGATAGCAAAATTTTCCCAAAAGGGCAGGTGATTTTCCAGCCGTCCGTATCCAGCAGTAGCTCTTTGCAATTTTTCGGATTTATATTTCTCCAACTATAATAGTTTTCGGAAGTTAGCATTGTATTGTTGTTCAGTTAAATGTGGTTGACTGAGTGTTCCCGGTATTTCAAGGTTTTCAGTGGGAGAGAATTTGAATATTGTGATGATGAATAACGCTGTGCAATGCTTCTGATCGCAGTTTAGTACTGGTGAAGGCATTGTACTAAAATCTGCTAGTGGACAGCATCGCTATCTTCGGCGAGCTAGGAAACTGAAATTTTACAGGATCGCAAACTTAACTTCAAATTTTCTTAAATGTGTACGCTCAGTCCCTGTATGCAAGCACGTGAAACTTTTGGCACCGATTTATTCACTTGAAAACTAAAAAATTAGGAAATTGGAAAACTAAGGTAATATTCTAGGCTCGCCTGCGATCCCAAAAATTTTAATTTACACTACACTTACAATTAAACCTCATCTGAGAATTTTGGCGCGAGATACTAGGCAAAATAGTAAGTTAATATTTTAGCGTGATGCTTCCTCTAAATGTACAAACCTGAAACTTCAAATTCATATTTCATGCATACTTATGTCTCAAGTAGGGACACTTGAATTTTCATGTGGATAATTTTTAGTTTGGACGCTGCACAAAACAGAAAACTGGACTTTTCAACCATGGGCATGTAGAATTTCGTTTTTGTCCATACCAAATTGTTAAAAAGTGAATGTTTCTAATAGCAAACACCTGTTAACTTCGCGTGATTGCTTCGGCAAGTTGGTATGTTTTTGATAGACTTTTTTTTTTGTTAGGCGCTAAATTGATTTGTAAAAAATTGATTGTTGTTCAAGATGTCTTCCGTTTTGCACATTTTATTAGCCGGATCAGATTTTTCCCAGGTAGATGTGGAAACTTTGTTAATTCGTCGACTAATTTTTCCATGTTTCAGGTAATATTACGTAATACTTCGCATATCTAGTTAGAATTGGAATTCAGTGACAACAGTCGTGGCCGGCAGGCTCTATTCAATATAATCGAAGCATACGTTATTTATGATACCGAAACAGGCTATTGTTAGATTAGTGCCTTCACTGTTAGTCAACTACTGTTCCAAGTACTGTTGTATTTCAGCAATATACCGCGCTGTACCTGTGTACGTGGAGAATTCAGACAAAATTTGCATAAATTTTATTTTTCCGTGAAACAGGAGAATGGAAGGATTTCACGTGA